TATTCCTATTATAGATCTCTTTCTTATAAGTCTCTAGATCTTTATAAGATAGATAAATAGGCTTCTCTAGGGCTAGAGGTCTTAAAACTTTTAGTACTAATGTTATATAATATAAAAGTATTTCTTTAAAGTAAACTAAAGTAGAAAGCTACTTACGTTATTTACTACTTAGTATCGTTTCAGCGTATTAGTAATCTGTTTTCAATAGTTTCTAAAGATTAGAAGAACTTTAAGTAAAGGAATTAAAAGGATATTTAGAGAACTTTCTTACTTTAAGCTCCTATACTATTAGTCTTATTTTCTTTTACTCGACTTAAGTACTATTCCCAAGTATAAGTTCTTATATTTTAGCTATAGTCTAAGTAGTATTTAATCTTTAACCTTATATATAATAGAACGTTCTACTAAAGGAGTATTTTAAAGCCGATTTTCTCTTTAAAGATACTCTTCTTTTCTTTTAAATTTATATAAGATAAGATGAGGCATTCTACTATGTCTTTTATTACTCTATAATGTAAAGAATTCTTCTTTATTTATTTTATTTAAAATAAGTAATACAAAGTCGCTATATTTTATTTAATAAGAAGCTATTTTAAGTAGACCGCCTTTAGTAAGTAACCTATAATACTTATATATTTTTCTCTATATAGCTATCTAGATTTATATGTATTTCAATACTATTTAGTTAGTTTTTAAAATATTTAGATCCTTTATCTAAATTAAGAGTTTTTATATATTATTAATTTTTCTTAATCTACTATCTTAGTAGGCCTCTACCTACTATGTTAGCTACGATATAAGTAGTTAAAAAGTTATTTAATTAATACTAATTCGTAGCTCTAAACCTAATTCTTTTAGCTAATTAATAACGCAACGTATAACGCGATAATTTAGCTTAAATAGTAGTTTTAGCCTTATATTAGCCTCTCGATAGCTAAAGGGTAGCTATAGCTATTTCGCTAGCTATATATAACTTTATTCTAGCTATAACGTAATCTATCACCGAGCGGGCCAAATCACCGAACGGGCCATTTTGTCTTGGTATTGTAAACAACATCTTTCCTGTTTATTGTATCAACAACGAGACATGTTATCAGATAATCAAGAAGGTAGAATCGATCTTGCTATCAATGCGTATAGATCTGGTCATGTTCGGAGCCAACGGAGCGCAGCTGCTGCTTTCAATATCAATCATCAGATACTCTCTAAGAGACTCAGAGGAACCAGATCTCGCGAGACTATGGCACCAAACTGTCAGAATCTGACGTCAACAGAAGAACAGACGCTTGAGCAATATATCCTTGACCTT